GTTTTAGCTATTGCTGCTGCTTTGTTAATATATGATCAGTATAAAGAAGAAAATAAAATATGTTTTAATATATATGAATAGATTATTACAAGAAGAGCTTTTACCTGGTTATAAAAGACTGCTATGACAAAAATTAAAGGTAACCGTACTTTTTAGTATAACCTTTAATCCTAATAGTCTTAAACCGAATGAACAAGTTTATATTAATATTCCGAAATTGAAAGCAAATAGTTGCTTAGTGCCTGGTTCACTTAATCTATCGTTTGATCTTAAAATCAGTAATACAAAAGTCATTTTATAAATAATCTCAGTCAGATTTTACAACATAGACTACAAATTAAAGTGGCTGGAGAAACCCTTTACGATTGTAGTGAACATAATGTTATAAGTGTATACAAAGACTTGTGGTTACCTAAAAGTGATAGACAAGGTCTTATTGAATATGGTATTTGTAGAAAATTTACGAAAACTCATTTCGAAAGATGATAGTGCTGCAACAAGTGGTGATTCACAGAAGTAGCAGATAAATTAATGTATGATATTTATGGTACAAGACAAAAATTAATATTGATAATATTCTTAAAGATCATGGTCTTTATTGTCCTTTCAATATGAATAATAACTTTCAATACATAATAACATTACCAAAAGTGATCAAGTCCTTATCCACAAAGTGGCCAAACTATCGGTGATTATGAATTAGAAAATATTCAGCTAGAATATGAAACTATTGAAAATCAAGAAATTGCATGAGGTAACAAATTTATATTCTATAGGAGGAGTCTATTTTATGAACATATAACCCTCTTAAAAAGGAAAAATGGGATAAGTCAGTACATTACAGAATATAAATGCAAATGTCCCTAAAATCAATGAAAGGTATTGTACTTCTATTCACAGAAAATTCAGTTAGTGATAGTGAAAAATTTGAATTTCCATTAATTGATGAAGTTAAAGTGACCATAGAAGGCACCCCCAATTGCCTTTTCAACCAGGGCATGAATAAAACACCTTTTAATGAAGAAGCAAGAAAATTTTTTGATAGAACTATTCCGATAGATTGCTTCATGACAATTGAAAAATTCTATAAGGATAAATTTGCATTAGTTATCGATCTACGCACCTTTCAAGAAAAAATATTGCTGGTAACGGAAAAAATCGTTAATACCAAAACGGCATTCTTCTCGAAATTAAAAGAGCATATACAAAAGATTTAAACTGTTACATCTATGTCATTAGTGATGCTCTTGTTCAATTTGTTAATAATGATTTACAAAGTATTCAATACTAGAATAACCAGTAATATATAAATGAACACACCCTTTAATATGATTATTTTAGGTATGACTGCTTGCGGTAAAACCTTCTTTCTTTTAAGAATGTTAGAAAAAAACTTTAATAGACATTTTGATTACATTATTTTATTATGTCCAACGTTATCATACAATAAAACCTATCAAGAATGGAAATATATAAATGATTCTGATTTAATTAAAGTAGAATGTGACCAAGATCAGGTAGATATTGTTTTAAAATATGTTAGTGATGTATATAAAGGTACAAATAGTCTTATTATACTTGATGACTGTGCGAGTTGTTTAGATGTTAAAAATAGGACATCGCAATTAATAAAACTAGGCTTTAGTGCTCGTCATTATGGGCTTTCTACTATTATTACACAGCAATTGACTAGTATTTCTAAACCTTATCGCGAAAATATAAGTTATTTAGTTACATTTTATAATACAAACCGCAATGATATGAAAACCATATTTGATGATTATCTTTATGGTGTTGAGAAAGATGATATAGAAGAAATAACCAAAAAATTGAAAAATAATAAGTATGCACATTTAGAAATCCAACTTGTATACCCATACCAATGGAAAATTGTTATTCCGCAATAAAACATGTATTATATATATATATATGCCAAAGCGTAAAGAGCCTGAAACAATTAATGATATAATTAATGAGATTGATTCCACAAATGATATTATCAAAGACGCGGTATGTGATGAAAATATACAAGATAAACCGCAAGAGGGTTTTAATAAAAGAGATCAACTACTTAAACTAGCTGAAGATGGTGATTTAGACAAGTCAGTTGCTTACATTAAAAAAGCTAGTCAAAAAATTATTGATAAATTATACACTGAATACGAGAAAAAACGATTGCAAAAAGCTAATGAGTTTTTAACTGATTTAGTTATATCAAAATTTTCAGATATATTAAAAGGGTTTGATGCTATTGAAGATCCTAAAGAATTAACAAAACAGCTTAAATCAGACGACCTTTTAAAACGAGATGTGTACAGTTTAGTAGAAAAAGTATCCCCCCTATTGCCTTTTTTAGGATTTTTTTCTGGTAGTTTGACAACTATTAAACATGTTTATGAACATAAAATAATAAACCGGATATAAAATCTGAGGAATAATATAAATGAGCTTATTTTATGGACATGATAAAACAGATATTAATGTAAATATACAAGGATCTTTAGATAAAACACAACTATCAGATCACTACTATACTAAAACACAAGCTGATGGTAAATTTAATGACTACTATACTAAAACGCAAGCTGATGGTAAGTATGCTTTGATTTCTAATTTACTAAAATATTATACTAAAACACAAGCTGATAATAAATATGTTTTTGTTTCAAGATTAGCTAACTATTATACAAAGAATGAAACAAATGGTAAGTATGCTTTAAGTTCTAATTTAAATAAATATTATACTAAAACCCAAGCTGATGGAAAGTATGCTTTAAGTTCTAATTTAAATAAATATTATACAAAGACTGAAACAGATGGTAAGTATGCTTTAAATTCTAATTTAACTAACTATTATACTAAAACACAAGCTGATGGTAAATGTTATACAAAGACTGAAACAGATGGTAAGTATGCTTTAAATTCTAATTTAACTATTATACTAAAACACAAGCTGATGCCAAGTATGCTTTGACTTCTAATTTAACTAACTATTATACTAAAACACAAGTTGATAATAATTATGCTTTAAATTTAAGATTAGCCAACTATTACACAAAAAATGAAATAGATGATATAGTAAATAGTAAAGTAGTATATCAAAGTAACCAATTAAATTATACCACAAATGTTGATAGCCAACGAAATATTATCACAATTGTTTTTAATAATATTACATTTATTGAATTTACACTTTTATTAATAAATCCATCTGATAACTCTAAAACAGTTAAATTAGATATTATGGTAGATAAGATTAACAAAAAATTTATCATTAAAATAACAAATGATAACGAAAAAAAGATAGCTAATGCATTACTAGATTTATATTACGTATACTGTGCTGATGATAATTTAAACTATATTTATATTATTATTGAACCAAAAAAATCTCCAGCTTCAATTGATTATGACGAATGGAAAAGAAAATGGCTGGCAGCATTTAATGGATTCACTAAAATGCAAGTTTATTCACACCATCAATCTACATTATCTATGAGATATAATGGTTATTCACAAAATTTCGGAGCTATTATACAAGATAATATTCTATCAACTAAAAAATTTGTAAATGATGAAATCGAAAAATTAAAAAAATTTATTAAAGATAACTATCAAGCTAAACCTAAAGATGAAGAATAATCCTCATGTTTGACTACATATCACATAACTGTTTGTAATAAGTAATTAATACAAAAGCGATATACAAAAAGATTCAAAATCCTGAAACAATTAGTAAAAAACACTTTTAACAAAAATTATATAAAACATTGTTAAACATGTACATTTGACACACGCTTGACTGACAAATTAAAAAAAACATATAGATTCCATAGTTTTTTAAAGAGCATCTATGACATTGTTGCGCTCAAAATTTCAGGCTTAGTTGCCTGAAATTTCTCGCCCGACACAACGATTTAAAAGATGCTTTATTAACACTTGATTATTAAAGAATATTTATACCACGCGCTGAGTTTCAAGACCATTGTTAAAGACCACTAGTTAATCCAATATACCACGTAGACTATAAAGCGCGCTGCTACTGATATTTATAAAACATTAAATTATTAACACTTGATTATTAAAGAATATTTATACCACGCGCTGAGTTTAAGACCATGGTTAAAGACCGCTAGTTTACCAAATATACCACGTAGACTATAAAGCGCTGCTACTGATATTTTAATAACATTTTATTATTAACACTAAATTATTAAAATGCGCTGGTGACATGTGCTAGCTACATTAAACAACCATTATTAAAAACATAAAGACACGCGCCTGACAGATTAAAAACATATAGATTCCAAATTTTGAAAAGATGTTTTATTAACACTTGATTTCTAAAGACGGTTTTTTGAAGAGCATTTTTTAAGCCTCTGTTATTCTCGAATATTCTTCGAATATTCATCGAATCTACGGGGGGAAACCCGAATTTTTCACTTCGTGAAAAATTTTCCCCACCGTTCCAGAATTCTCGGGGATCCATTCCCTGCTCAATTTAGCTACGCTAAAATTTGCGCTGCTGATCCCCTCCGAACCGATGCTTTCTTAACAATTAATTCTTAAAGACGGTTTTTTGAAGAGCATTTTTTATGTCTGTCGTCCTTCGGACACCACAGGGCGACTCAATTTTCACTTCGTGAAAATTTCCCACCATCGTCGCCTGAATTCTCGAGGGCTCCATCCCCTGCTCAATTTTAGCTACGCTAAAATTTGCGCTGCCGAGCCCTCTCCGAAACGATGCTTTCTTAACATTTATTTCTAAAGATAGTTTTTAAAACATATAGATTCCATATTTTTAAACAACAGATTGTAACGTCGAGATTTTTACCCCCCTTTGAAACAATTGTTTGTTAAAGATAGTTTTTACCCAAGGTTAAAAGTAGTATAGTACATGGGGGATATGAGAGCACTTTTTGTGCTCTCGAACCCCCATGTACTATACTACTACTGCACTTATCAATCTTGGTCTTGAAATAAGTTCAGTTAGTTTCCTATGAGCTGCACTACCTTAAAAAGTATAAAGAGGTCAGTCTTATGAATAGATTGATAAGAAGCAAGATTATTATATACATGCAAATGCTTTGAGACTTGTTAAAGAACAGGTGCACCGTGCACTTATTTTTTTGTGTATAGTGATGAAGTCTCCATGAATGAATAGGAGCTACATACTACCCTTTACCTTTTTTTAACCATTGCCGTTTAGTAGCTTCATGCAAGCATTTGGTAAACACCTTGTTGTCTTCGTGAGTATGAATATCAGCAATGTGATTTGCCAAACTTTTCCACTTTTCTTCTTTTTCAATTTCAGTGCTGAATGAGCTTGCCACCCAATACAAATGATTTATGATGGACTGTTAGATAAAGTTTAAGATATAGCTACAAGTATCACTCATACTCCTCTGGAATGGCATGATATACATTTTTTAAATGTAGCTACCCCAATCCAAGGCTTAATTGCACAAAATTTCTTCTTTTTTACAAGTTTAAGTAACCTCTTTTTCTCTCCTAAAAGGTTCAATTTAAATACATCATACTTTATCACATGATTCACAATTCCAGTGATTTGATTCACAACTGATGCACTCATATTTGAGCGATTAATACTTACAAATAGAGAATTAGCTGCTTCTCCTTAGCCATGAAAGATGTAACCTGGATGTGTCTGTCAGTCACAAGCTTGGTAATTTTAACATCACCCTTTTCAAGGTATGCGAGTTGACGCTTGATGGATTCTAGCTCCATGGCGTTGGAATTCTTGACTTCAGTGCTCTAAGTATTGATAAAGTATAGAGAAATATCATACGAAAGAAGATTGTTTTATATTAACGGAATATTTTCAGACGATCATTATAATATGTTAATAGGCTCTATCATTACCTTTATGATCTGTGTATCAAGTATGACATTGTTATCGACATCCAAAGAGGTCCCGGAAACAAACAACCCGCTGTGACCTGGGCTATCTACTCGCATATCTGACGCAATACAGCAAGTTTGTCCTTTAAGTTTTTGTAACAATCTCTTTTTCTCACCCCCCCAAACATTGAACACGGCAGGTATAACATACGCCGATTGCAATCTTGAAAATTCACGACGTGTGAAACATTTTATTTTCAATGCACTGAGAAGTCGAAGAACCTTAGCACATTCTAGCCATGTGGCCAAGATGCCTGAGGCCAGCATCAGGTGAAATACCGGTAGTCTATTACACAAGGGGCCTGTGCACCATGTAAAGCTATGGGTTTCGTCTAGTACGCATTGAACGGATATTCTGGAAAAGGTTCCAATGGTGTTTGCTACGCTAACAAGGTATTTACTACCACATTTAGAGCAGCGATCGAAACATTCAACCAGGGAATCTTCAAACACAATAAATTTCCTTTGATCTTGCGGAAGCTTGTTGCGTGGCAAAATCTTACTCGTGCATTTAGATTCTACATTGCTGTTAATATTGTCTTCGAACTCTGAGTCTTCAGTATTTGTATCTCCAAGTAAGAATTCTTCACTATCTGTATCTTGCTCCTGATCAAATTCATTTGTATCATTTTTGTCCACAGTTTTTGAAAATCTGTTATCGTCAAGACCAATATCAGATGTGCCAAATGGCAACTGTACACTACCCAGAGTGGCTTTTGTTTCATCTGTCTGTGAACTAGTGGATGTTATTTTTGCACTTGTTGTAAAAAGGTCTGCCTTTAGTCTCTCTGCCGTTATGAATGTTTGAACAGCGACACTTTTAAATTGTTTTCGATTATTGTAGCATCTGCACGGCTTTCCAATTTGTGTCGCTTTGTCTTTTTTATTTTGTGTAATTTTTCTTTTTGACACAGAACTAGCAAGGTGCGTTGTTTGGATTAAATCTGAGTTCTCATGGAAAATAACCTCCCCACGAGAACTCCATGCATCTGCGTTTACAATTTCTTCTTCAACTGGGGCACATTTGTTCTCTATGTATTCTCCTACCATGGCATCAATATCCTGTCATGAAGCAAAATAGCCAGAAACTAAACTTAGCAAGTTTCAGTGAAAGTAGAAATAATTTCTTTTCCTAAATATTAAAGAGTTTTTGACATTTTACCTTTCTTCTCGAGTGACTGCCTGTGCATCGACTCTTTGCAGTTAGTTTTTCAGCTTTACTTGCGGTCTTGGGTTTATTTAATGTGGGTATAGCATCACCCTTTAGCATGGCTTTCTTTTTCCCCAAGAAGTTAATTGAATTTAAAAAAGACGGTGAACAAGATGGTATATAGGCATCGTTCTCAAAATGCAGAGAGCAAATAGTCGAGTTCTTTGTAGGTTTGTAACCCTTTCTTTTACAAAATTCAATACAAATTTTTTCTCGTTTTTTTTCATCTGTATTTTTTACGCCGTTTGGGAAAGTGAAAAAATGAATAGAATTGTCAGAATTATTTTTGTTGTTACTGTAACATCCATATACTGCGCAGTACATGATCGCTGAAATCTTTCGCGCAATCTGCCTTCTGCAATACGACTCTAATTCATCAAATTTGTGTGACCAGTTCATACACCAATAACTAAAACTTTTCCGAACTCTCGAACCAACGCCTGCAAGCTATATTTATGTATAATTATTCGGAAGTGGTTTTTGGGTGTCTACATATGACTCGCAACTTTGCCATCCCGTTTCTACCTACATCCTACCGCAATGACACATTGCGGTGAAGAAGTGTTCTCTTAACATGACTATACTATTTTACATCAACATAATATCCGTTATATCTTCTAATCTATAATATGACACAGTCACACACTACACAACATAACATGACAATTTACAACAAAATCTGCTGTCTACAAAAATACAATTCTTATAACTTTCTTCTATTTGTAATCATCTCTCAGACTTTGGCGAATATGTTTCATGAAGCTTTAGCTGTCATATTTGTTGATATTCTTCATCGTCTACGATCTCCTTCGAGTGGAAATGAACATGGACACGAACAAGCTCCGATACAACCATACAATATGTATACTGAATATATAAATATATAACTTATATTTGTTTTTTTATTTCATTATGTATATTGCATGTGCATGATGTAAAAAAGTGCGAAAAAATGTTTTTTTAAGAATAATTCACACTGACTTCATCAAAACACATATAAAAGTATATTATGTTACCAGATATGCCTCCCAGTGTGACGGCATTGCATAAATTTGCATACATTATATTCAAAACAAATCAAAATGGCCGCAGACTTTGAAATTGGAGTTAGAAAAACCTTTGTTACATGAAGACAAAAACATTGTTGAACTAACAAAGGTATATTATAAGTCTATGCGATATTTCCCGTTAATTAAGCCTAACTTAAAATATATGTCCAATGTCCTTTAAATAAAGCTTTGTGACATGTGGCGGGATGCAAAATTTAACATTGCCTATGCATGTACGTTTTTATTGCTCCAATTATCATTAATTTTTGCAAATACAAACTTTAATTTTGTTAATTACGTAACAAATACAAACTTTAATGATGAAAATGTATAAATTTTGTACAAATGAGCCAAAATGATCATAGTACAAGCAATATGTTATGGACGTTAAGTAATGTCAGAGATTTTTAAAACGTGCTTTTTACTGTATGCCAGTCGTCTGAAATGGTTTTTGCTTTTCCTAAGCGACCTTTTTTAAGCAACGACAAACTCATAATTATTTTGTCTGAAAACTACTTTTTGATTAAAAATTCGAGATTATCAAATGTTCATTGTCTTTCAAAATCCTTTGTGACGTAAATGAGAATAAATGTATGATATCGTATGAGGCCGTAAGATTTGTTGCTACATATTTTAATAATATGGTAAAAGCACTTTCTTTCTGAAAATCATGTGCCGATTGCAAATAATCTTTAATCAATGTGTTCAATTCTTTAAAGCGAGGGTTTTGCACAAAGTGAATGATCGCACGTGATTAATGATATTGCTTGTATATGATACGCATAAGTTGATGTTCGTTGTTTATTTTCGTGTTATGTAAATTCACACAGATGTGTATAATTCATAGGTTCAGGAAAAACAAATTCAAAAGCTTTCTGCCTTTCTCTTAATTCACTAACAGAATACTTCAATCAGAATGATCCAAGCAATATAATACATAATACGAAAAACTACTTACTACACGACAAACACATGTTCAACATATCGATTTATAAGTGCGTCGTACCTTCTTGGACAAGATTTAGCTAATATTGGTGGTCACTTGTGAAACTTCCTTGGGTATAATATCTTCAGGTTCTTATTTTTGACTACATCATAACTTTTTATCAAAGTTTTGTAAAGAGTACAAGAATTCGTTTGCCAAAGCTATTAAGCGGGCTCAAGCTAATTCCGTATAATAATATGGCAGCTGCCTTTGTCATAATAAATAAGTTTCAAGATGCTTGTGTCGTATTGTTTGTAGAAAATATTTCTTATGCTCTTAACAAATATTAATTAATCAAAGATTGTACTTTGACGATTATGTGCCTATTGCATTTACCTGAATGGTCTTACTGATGAAAATGTAACGCAAGCAGACGCTTTACTACATTCCACAAGCATTGCTTGTATTTTTTGCCCAAAGTCAGATTAACTCTCATTATGACCTTGCTACGCATTTACTATGTGTCAATAATGCCACAAAGACGAAAATTAGCTACAACACTAATGTCAATGCTTACCTTGCGAAGCAATAAAATGGCTTTCTAAGTCAATCTTCTTTTTGATGAAACAGCATACGTATACACTTTATGTAACGTTTATGTCTATTTGACTAGAGCGAATATAAAGAAAACATTAAACCACCCACTCGGAATTAAGAAAAGAAAAATATGATAATTAGGGTATAGACAATAAATTGTTGAAACTTCTCGGTAAGATAGGCATAAAAATAGTTAAGTGCGTATCACTGAAGTTTTTTATTTGAAAAACAAGAAGTATAGCTCCCGAAGAAACATCTTTTGTGAAAATGAGTTCTCTTTCGTAATGATAACTACTTCTTTGAGCTTAAACATCTGCAAAAATGGCAATTTTGAGAGACATCGGAATTACTGTCCGGGCTATTGAAGTAAATATATCTGGAACGCTAACTCCTACAGTTTTGTCCCATGATTGACTGAAGGCAATCAGTGGCTGAATTATCTAAATCTTTTTCTCAGTTTGGCGCACGTGCTTCCTCTGAAATTGGTATGTTGCCCCTTTGTCTGAGGCTGGCATTTTTTAGTCTTCTTACACGACATCAGTAGGAATACTTTTGTTTAGGCGCAAAGGTTGTAAAGCACTGATTTATTTATTGCTTTATGCCATGGTATTTTGCATTGCAGAAAACATACTAATCAAAGAATAACTTTCAGTTGGAGATGTGATTCGCTGGGCGTCAAGAGTAAGCTCGTAGTCAGACATCTTTTCACTAAAAAATCAAAACGTAAATACAACTAGACAAGAATAACTTAGCTTCTTAAATTCCAAGGTAAAGGCAACTTCTTCTAATACAAAAAATGCAAAATCCACGAGGAGCGATAGCCAAAGCGTGCTCAATGGTGCACATGTACAGCACAACTGGTTAATTCATGCGCAGTGCTCTCTCTCCTACAACTACGTAGCCATAAACTACAAAATATTATTATTATTATTATTTACATTTATTTAAACACGGGAGTATCTCAACTTGTATCCTAAAATACAACTACATATAAAAATAAAAAAGTTGATTTTTAGATAGCCGCGTGATAAAATAAAATTTAAAAGGAAATTGCATCTAGGTATAAAATAAACAAACAAAAAAAAGTATGAGCTATATAAAAATAAAAATATTAAATCTATAAAGTTTATGCATGCAATAGATATTTTCCTTATCCTCAATGTTATTCCAAGCCTTTCCACCTTTATATGCAAAGCTAAGTTTTAAGGCATTTGTTTTTGGTTTGGGCAAGTTGAGAACGTGATTTTCATTTCGTAATCCATACATTCCATTCGTACGTATTGAGAAAAACTGTCGAAGATAATCTGTAGAATTGCCTTTCATTATTTGCAAACATTAAATTCTGTAATTGCACTTTTCTCCTTGCCTCTAAGGTGTCCCAAGAGAGTTCAGCTATTACAGAGTCAGAGGCAGATTTATAGCAATCACCTGTAATTATTCGGCCAGCTTTATTTTGAAGTTTTTGTAATACAATCTGTAAACTATTGGATCAGTTGTTCCATAAAAAAGAACAGTAGACAAACAGTGGCAATACAAAAGCATTAAATATTACTTTAAGCGTGCCTTTATCAAGTATTTTTTTCATCTACGTAGTACGCCAATTCCCTTGGCAGCTTTTTTGGCCACATTTTTAAAATGATTTTTCCAAGTGATGCACTCATCCACAAGTACATTAAGTGTCTTGGTGGATGAAACACGTGTAATAGCCTCAGTACTTATCGATAAAATATGCCGAATAGATGGGTAGCTCTTGCTTGTTCGAATACTAGATAGACATTTGTCTTCATAAATTTCCGAAAGACGACGATTTAGGGAGAAAGACACGGAGAATAAGAGTAACTTTTATTTGTACAAAGCATAGAAGATAGAATACGGAAATGCAATTTTCAGGTAAAACCATTGAGCTCTATACAACCTGGAGGGGCAAAGGGGCCTGGACCACGTGGTCAAAAACATGGTGGTAATGGCGGATTTTAGTGGTCAAAACTTCTACTTTAAAAATTTTTTTTCAATATTCACTCCCTCCTGATTTCTAATACTGTTTGTATGAACGGAAACAAGTGAGAAAAAACAATTATTGTTTCTTATCAGGATTAAACTGATGTCCTTGAAATGTTAAGCACATGCGATAACCATTCCACCACAGAAACTATATGAACAAACGTTTTTTGCTTTCATTGAATAAAAATAAAAATCAAATTAGGAGTTAATGATTATAAGGAACGTCTTCTATCTATATATTGCGAGTGGGGAAGCCAGCAGGAAAATTTGTTCATGCTATGCAAATTTTACATTATCATTGTTCATTTCTTTAGAAAATGATTGTTTCTGCCATCATGAACGCGAAAATATTTGCATAGCAAGACTTTTTCCACTTCTGAGATGGGTTGGATCAAATCGACCGAACTCAGTTTGAATAGGGCTTAAATCTTAATCGTATCGTGTGAATAGGGCTTAAATCGTAATACTTGCAATGTCAATCATTTTCGTAAAATTTTCATGTGCATAAGACGACCTGACTTTGTGAGCTGGCTTTTCCATTGTTCGTATTCCATTTCCATGAAAAAGATCCACTTAAGCAACTAATTCTCTCGTAGTAGTGTTGCTGTTACAATAAGAAATGATCCTACTGTATTCTACAGCTACTAGTTTGAAAGACTAGCTTTAACTTAATAATCAAAATCCATGTTTGTCGTTCGATGTATTCTGAATTAACTACACTTTCAGTTTCAACCAACAATATAAAAGCATGCAAATACAAAAACAATAACAAATACGTAAGAGCCAGCATTTTTGCTGATGCTTACATTTCATAGCGATATAAATTATATGATTTATATCCTTTTTTGTCTTTGAAGCAGAACATCTATTTCAACTTTTATTGTTCATGGTATTGGTTACAGACTTACAGTTTTCAGTATGCTCATTACATTATATTTCTAGGGGAGATGGAAGTGGAGAAATGAGCTATAAAAGTGTTGGTCAAACACACGCTAACACATTGGACGAATTTTCCCAGTCAAGTTCTTCAACCTTAGCTGACAACAACTGTGAAATCCCCTACAACACCAAGAAAAACCCGAACAATCCCAACGAAAACCCACACAAGGCAAACGTACACCATAACGACAACAGCCAAAACTCCAAAAACGCTAACAAAAACCCTGTTTACAACGGCAAAGAAAACCCAAACAGCGTCGTCAAAAACGCTTGCAAAATCAATGAAAAGCCTAACAACGTCAACGAAATTTTTAACCAAACGAAGAAAAACTCTAATGATACAAACGAAAACACAATTATTACAATCGGATGCACTGATGTTAATGACATTGCTGAGACTATCGAGAGTAATGGTAACAATACTAACGAAGAACAACAGTATTTTCAAAAGTTTTGTAGCTACAACAAACCTGATGAAGATGAAGAACCAATTTCGAAGAGCCCAAAAATTTTAACGTGCACTCAAAGTATTTATCAGAAGAAAGTTAAAATAGGTATTAAATGTTTCTTTATCTTCAGTCTGTAGTATTTATTTGTACCAATGTACTTACTGTTGCAATAACAAATTTTAGTTCGTCATACAAAAGTACAAAAAATGTATAGCGTCTTATAGCTAACATCGACATTTTAGGTGTTCAGAAAAAAAACAAATTATTTTGTTACAGAAATAGGAATCACACCACTATTAAACGAATCAACAGCAAACTGCAAACATTTAAAGTTTGTGTATTTGCTAAATGCTTTTATTTTATTAATAGCTATGTATGTTACCCTAAAAGAAAAGATATCCTAAGTCTTATAGTATATTGTCTCTCTACAATTTTATAACAAGACATACATTATCTAAAAATGTATTTTATATTTTTATCAGGCGAAGGCTCAAAGTTAGTGGTTTTTAATGAAGACAAGATACCTCAAGCTTTATGCACATTATTTTCTATGAAAACTTTGCACAACCGCCCTGTACCAAAAAGTCATGTTGGCATAGTCATTGGTTACATCATGCCAAACTGTAAACTCAAGCCAGTTTGTCCAACAGAGTTTGATGGAGATTTTGTCGAAAAAGGGGCGTTTTACATATGGCCGCTTAAATTGTTGGCATTGAATAATAACTTCCCGAAATAAATTGATAGTTAGTTTATGTAAAATAATGTAAATATATCTTCCATATAGTTTTTTTTTTATATTGATTGCTATGCAATTGAATTTTGGTAATGGATTAATTTTATTTTCCCTTCATTGTGTATAGTGTGTATAGTGTATAATGTGTGTGTATA